GCATAGTCGGTTCGGTGAAACGATGATTGACAACCTATATAAGAATTGCTCAAAACCAATAAAGTAACGTGAATCTGGCACCGCTATACCGTTTCGGCACGTTCGGATTCATAAATGACGAAATTAACGGAGAAACATCGTTCCGCATAGTCGGTTCGGTGAACCGATGACTGACAACGCATATAAAAAACACTTAGAATCGATGCCGTAGCCGATTTCTATTGCCGCTAATCGATACTGTAACGGATTTTTATTACCGCTATAACGTGTTGGTATGTTCGAATTCAATATCGTAGAAATTATCGACGAAATTCCGTTCCGCTTAGTCGGTTCGGTGGACCGTCCGAGCGCGACCAAGTCCCTCTGGCATAGTCGGTTCGGTGGATTGGCTACTGACAACCTATTGAATTAATGCTTAGTATAGATAAAGTAACGTATTTCTAGCATCCCTATATCGTTTTGGCACGTTCGGATGCGCAATTGTAGGAATTATCGAGGAAACTCCGTTCCGCATAGTCGGTTCTGTGCGGCGTTTACATTTTCTAAGTCCTGGCGGCGTATTGCTTCCGCATAGTCAAAGTCCTGGCCGCGTATTGCTTTCTCATTTTCAAAGTCCTGGGCGCGTATTGCTTTCTCATTTTCAAAGTCCTAGCCGCGTATTGCTTTCTCATTTTCAAAGTCCTAGCCGCGTATTGCTTTCCGTCTTTCTAACATCCGACCGTGTAATACTTAGCATTTTCGAAGTCTCAGCCGCGTTATGAGATTTATATTTTTAAGTCCGCGGGCGCTCATAGCTTTATTTTTTTCTCTACGCGCGCGCGTGCCTTTCTATTTTTTCCTAAGTGCCAGCGGCGTATTGCTTTTAAAAAATTTTCTTCGCGCTTTGCGCGAACGAGGAACAAAAGTTTTCTTCGCGCTTCGCGCGAACGTGGAACAAAAATAAATTTTTTTTTCCTCTCCTCTCACTTACTTTCCTTGCCTTTCCCCCTTCTTTCTCCCTTCTTCACACTTTCGCTCTCTATATAATATATTGTATATTATTATGTCTAATAATATAATCAACTATTATTTATTATATTATATTATAATATAATTTATAAGTGTGATGTTAAACCTCATTCACACTCTCAAACTTAGAATTAATTTGATCTCTCCACACTTTTATTAGGGGCCTTTCTCCTCAAATCGTAATGTTCCACTGTAACATCGTGGACATAGATACTGAGGATAGACCACGGAGAGATCATATATTTCTGACACTTCTTGTATTAGAAACTTTGCGTTTCGTTGCTTTCGCAGATGTTCGTCCACGCGCGCGTGCCTTTCTATTTTTTCCTAAGTGCCAGCGGCGTATTGCTTTTAAAAAATTTTCTTCGCGCTTTGCGCGAACGAGGAACAAAAGTTTTCTTCGCGCTTCGCGCGAACGTGGAACAAAAATAAATTTTTTTTTCCTCTCCTCTCACTTACTTTCCTTGCCTTTCCCCCTTCTTTCTCCCTTCTTCACACTTTCGCTCTCTATATAATATATTGTATATTATTATGTCTAATAATATAATCAACTATTATTTATTATATTATATTATAATATAATTTATAAGTGTGATGTTAAACCTCATTCACACTCTCAAACTTAGAATTAATTTGATCTCTCCACACTTTTATTAGGGGCCTTTCTCCTCAAATCGTAATGTTCCACTGTAACATCGTGGACATAGATACTGAGGATAGACCAGGGAGAGATCATATATTTCTGACACTTCTTGTATTAGAAACTTTGCGTTTCGTTGCTTTTGCAGATGTTCGTCCACATCTTGTTGTGCGAGTTGCATATCTCAACCCTCGTTCTTTAATTCTCACCAAGTTGTACGAAGTCGCGAAATGAACATGTATCTTGCATTCGTACGAGCGGTGTCTGGCCTTCCTCAGAACACCTCTCTCTTTATTAGTACGATCTAAGTATATATCTCGTGTGTCTCCGTGCCGAAGTCCAGAAAAATTTCTATAAACTTTGCCTTTCGAAGAGAATTTTTATTCCGATTTATGGGGCGTAATAGGATCTGAAGAGGGAATACCAAAACTTTGTGATTTAGAAAGAACACCTAGTATTCCCATAGAACGAATAATTTACCCTATCACTGCGGAGGAAATTATTAATAAGTTAAAAAATATCAAGTCGAACACCGCGCCGGGAGTAGATGGCATTCGGAAAATGCACCTAAGAATGAAAGGGGCAGTACAAGTAATAGCCAACCTATATAATTTATTATTAATAAAACAATACTTTCCAGAAGAATGGAAAGTTAATAGAACAGTACTTATTCCCAAGCCAAATAAAAACCCGAAAGATGTCAAAAATTGGCGCCCGTTAACAATAGGCTCACTGATTAATAGAATATTCTCCTCAATGATCGACAATAGACTTCGCCCAAGAATTGAACAATCGATAAGACAAAAAGGTTTTACTAAAGAAGATGGATGCAAGCAGAATGTCGCGCTCCTT